GCTCGGGCGCGGCAGGGTGCCCATTCGCGGAGAGGGGCCGCTCAACAGCTCCATGGACGGCAGCACGATGCGAGCTGTCTTTGCCGCGACGCGCGGAACCTCGACGCCCTTCGCGCTGCCAGCCGGCCATGGCGCCCGACTCGCCTCCATCGCTGCCTCGCCGCCGCCCGGGCAGCGAGCTGAGCTTGGCACGGTCGACGGGGCTGCGGAGCCAATCAAGTTCACCGTGGGGCAGTGACGGGTCGCATGGACATCTTTTTTGCGACGTTGCTTGCGCATGTGTTTGAGTTGAGAGAGGATTTTTTGACACAGGCGTGTTTGAGGATCGTCGGTTAGTACACGTGTTATATATCATCGCCTCGCGGTCCGTCTCGCGCCAGGCAGCGGGCGGCCCCCTGGCCACAGCTGAGGGGCGCGCGCCACACTCAGCGCACCGTGCTCCGCGTGGTCCGGGTGCACCGCGTGGCCCAGGCGTGGCATTACCCATACCGGCACACACGCAGACTACAGACACACCGACACGCCGGCGCTCTCGTCGTGCTGTCGAGACGGGAGAGTCTGGTTCAGCTGGGTGCGGGTAGGCGTCCCAGAGTGCACACAACACCCCTCTGGCGCACCGAGTGACTCAAGCTAACACTCGCAAACACAGTATGTACGCTCACGGCCTCACGCAGCTCTCTCAGTCTCTCACCATCGCTGCGGCTTGGCAACCAGCTGAGCACACTGATCGCGTGTGGTCGAAGTGCCGAATCCCGCGGGCATGGGGCGAGGGCGTAACCTCGCCCTGGCTGCTCGGCCCTTTTCGATTCGCACAGGAGGCAGCGGCAAAGCACTCCGAGGCGGCTCTGTTAACGCGCTGTCCATCGCCTGGTCGAAGCCCTCAGGCGGTAGCTCGAAAGGCGCGTCCACTAGCGGCCGCAGAGGCAACTCTAGGTGGGTTGCAGGAAAGTGGAGGTCACAAGTCTCTGGTACTCCTGGCTCCTCCGGCTCCGGCTCAACGGCTGCCTCCGCGGCCGCCGCCGCTGCAGCTTGCTGCTGCTGCTGCTGCTGCTGCTGCTGCTGCTGCTGCTGCTGCTGCTGTGCTCCTGGTGCTCGCTCTTGTC